CGGTGGGGCGCAGCACGCGCGAGCAACGGGCGGAATGGGCGCGGGCGCGAACAATGCACGATGGGAGGAACGCGCAGGGCAGAAGTCCTTATACCTCGAGGCATGCGGTAAGGCGCGCGAGACCCCAATCCTTGAGGAGTGCGGCGACGCTGGGCGATTGGACGAGGACGCACGCAACGTCGGCGCCAATGGGCAGACGTGCGCGGCAAACAGGGGGGCGGTCACGCACGGGCGGAGTCGGTGGCCCTAGTCCTCGAGGACTAGGGCAAGGCGTGCGGGCGGTGCTGGGCAAGGCGGTGCGTGGACGTGTGACCGAAGTAGAGAGAGAGATCCTTGGTGTGCAAGCCAAGTTATTTAGTTTCCATCTAGTATTATGATTTCTAGCTTATTTAGGATACTAAATATTTTATTGCTTTATTAGTTCCCTAGGTAGATTAGGACTAGATATATTTTTTGCCTATATAAAGGCCCCTTCTCCATGTTATTATTCATCATGAATTTTATGAATAGAAATCTGAACTTTTGTTCAACCAATTTGCTTTAGTTTTTCACCAAAATTCTATTGCAATTTTATTCGTTTCAATAGGCGCAGTTGTGGCTAGAGAAACACTATCGGCGATTCAAGGCGAGGGTTAGTGGCTTATCGGCAATCGAAACACACGATCTTCATCATTGGTGCTTTCATTGAGAGGTGTTAGATCGTGTGTTTTTCTTCTACCCCATTCCCTTTATTTTTCCTTTAATTTTCGTCCCCCCTATTAAAAAAAAATAAAAATAAAATAAAAATAAAAATTCATTATCTTCGTCTTCAATCACGAGTCTACAAAGCAAAGAACGAAGAGAGGAATGGAAAGTCATGGCCAACAAAGAGATGAAGGATAAAATCGATAATCTCGATGTCCAATTCCGTGGCATGAGCGAAGCCATTGATACGTTGGGCGAAGGACTCGATAACACCAAGGCAACGGTGTAAGATCTGATGGAAACCGTGAATAGGCGCTTCGATGAGATGACACGCAACTTGCTTGCGCGCCTACCACCACCACGGCAGCAAGACCACGCACGGCACCATGACTGCGAGCGAGAAGAGGACCACGAACGACGGCACAGAGGGTACGAATGCAAGGAGGACTTCGACCGACAGTCCCAAGCGTCCAACTATCGCGAGCAACGTGTACCCGACAAACCGCGCATCACGTTATCTACGTTCAGGGGCAGCGATCCAGACGCATGGCTCAACAGGGCAATGCAATATCTAGAGCTCAATGAAACTGACGGCCCAGATCGTGTAAGGTACGCATCATATTATCTTGATGGTGAGGCCAATGTATGGTGGCAATGGCTCACAAGGATCTACCGCAAGTGACAGCAAATTATTGTAGGGTTCGATATACCGCACGGAACAGAGTTTACAGCGGAATTTAAAAATTTTATAAGAAATATCTTATAAATACTTATTCCGTACATAAGTATAACGATATTACGAATAAGCATCATTTAAAATCTAGTAACTTTTACTAATTTTGATTTGATATGTA